TCCCAGGTTGGGACTTGGCCAAGCATCCCAGCGCAACCCCCAAGTCCCAGCCTGCCTCCCAGATCCCCTCCCGAACGGTGATTCAATGCACCCCGAACTGCTGCCCAGTACCACCTGGAAGGGACAGACAGAGAAGGGAGGGAGGAAAACCGAGGACCACCAGACCTGAGGGACCTCGGCCAGGACCCCTAAGTCGCCCAACCGGTCCGGGGCGCGCCCAGCAGTCCTGATCTCTGGCTTCCTCCAAGTCTTTCCCATGGCTGGCGCCCCACCCACACCTGACTCAGCCGCAGATCCTGGTTAGTTAGCATCCACCTTGCCAGTGGGGCTGGGGGAGCAGGATGTCCCGGTGGAAAGCAGAACACCGGACAGGAACTGAAACGTCCCGTGGCATTTTGAAGCCTGGGTGTTTCCTGCCGCCAAGGGCGGGCAGTCCTACCTTGACTGTTGAGCGCTGGGGGGGAACACACATGAGGAAGTGAGAGGAAGCTCTCTTCACCGGATTAGTTCTTCACCATTCATTCCTTTCCGAATTCCAATTGAGCAGTCCTGACTTGTCCTGAATCGCCCTGTATGGAAGGCGCCCTATAGGGCTTCTAAGAAAGGTTATTCAATGGCTGAGTCACACCTGAGCCTTGGGGAAAGCACACCTCTCTCCAGGGTGATTCTGCTGCAGCTCACCATGAGCCCTGACTGAGCCTATGGATGTCCACAGAGACCTGTTGCCCAGGCGGGCAGGAGAAAAACCCAGAGACACTGCTGCTGGGAGATAGGAAAAGACATAAATCGAAATCGCTGTTCCTGGTGGTGTTCTTGGGATAGAAATCGGGAAGCAACAAAGGAGGAGGCAACAATGCTTGATAAGAAAGGTACTCACTACCTTGCCCATGTAATTGTAACCTCTCTGGTACGGTATTTTCCCAATAATAATAATAATAGTAATAATAATAATAATAATAATAATAATAATAATAAGAAGAAGAAGAAGAAGAAGAAGAAGAAGAAGAAGAAGAAGAAATTGAGAAGCAAAAGCCATTGTGGGGGTAAAGGCGGGAATTGTATGCACTGACCTGTTGCATCATGCTATTTGGCCAGTGGTTTGCAAATGTCGACACTATTAGAAAGCATTGAGCCTTTCAGCTGGGTGCAGTGGCTCATATCTGTAATCGCAGCTGCGCAGAAGTTAGAGCTGCAAAGAATCTCAGTTCTAGTTAAGAACCCCAACCCCCATTTCAGCCAATAAACCAGGTGTGATCATCACATCGATAATATCAGCTGTACGAAAAGCATTTGATAGATTCTGTGGAAGACTATAGCCACAAACCACTAAGAAGGAAAAACATGATTTTAGCTGAAAAATAACCAAAGCAATAAATAATAACAACAATGATAAAAGGTCTGGAGGTGTGGCACAAGTGGTGAAGTGTTTGTAAGTACAAGATCCTGAGTTTAAATCCCAGTACTGCAAAAAAAAAAAAGTATTGGGGATTCTAACACTTTATGTGTGACAAACATCAAAAATAGCCTATTAGAAATTTGAAAGAAGCATCTAAAAATCACTTTCTTTCTTATTTTAAATAGTAACAATAACCTCATTTGTCATATGTGACCTTAAATATCATGTTTTAGGGGGGAAAATGACTCCCTCCTAAAGAGACTTACTTGAAGAAGTAGACTCTTTCCCCATGTCAGCTAGCCCCTTGAGTGTCCAGCCATTGGAAGATGAAGTGTATTCTCATGTCTACCCACGTGTCGAGTGGAGACTGCTGGGGGTGGGAAAGGGGGGCAGATAAAGGAAGTTTGGACTTGGCCAGCCATGTTATATGTGTGCATTGAGATATCACTCTAAACCCAACTGATATACACAAGTGATACAAATTAATCATTTTAAAATCTTTAAGATAACAGGAAATTAGGACATGTGCTGCAAGTTCTTAATTACCCTGATAAATCTCAGAAACTGGACAGCGTCGTTGACTAATAAAAAAGAGGAAGGAAAAATTCAAAGGAAATTGTTTAGAGAAGTTGTTAGTGGGTAACTGTACATGAGCTTTGCAATGGCCAGTAGCAGTAGCACCTCACACTGAAGCAGAAGAAAGCTTCCCACAGAAAATGGAGCAGAAATATCTTCATATGCACTGACCCAGTGTTATAAAAACCCAGCTTTTATCTGGGGGCAGGAATGCATAGCAGACCATATTACTAGACAGGTGCTCCACTACATATGCCACATCCTCATCCTGGATTTGCTTTACTTATTTTTGGGTTAGAATCTTGCGTGTTTTTTTTTGCCTAGGCCAACATAAGCTATGATCCTCCAATTTCCACTTCCTGAATAGCAAGGATGATACCCATGCTCCACCACACCAAGCTATAGATTGACATGGGGTCTCCCTAACTTTTTGCCTGGGCTGGCCTCAAATCATGAGCCTCTCAATCTCACCTCCCTTGAGGCTGGGACTACAAGACTGAGTTACTGTGCCTGGCCTACAATGTTATACTTTTAAATGTTATCCATACTATTAACGTCCAATATTATCCCAGCCTTAAAATCTTATCCTTACCAATAAGGCCCACCAAAATGGCTACAATTAAGAAGACTGACATTGCCAAATGTGGACAAGGATGGGTTTCATATACTGCTGGTAGGAGGCAAGTTGGCATAGCCACTTAGGCAAATGATTTGGTGGCATTTACTGAAGCTAACTCAGGAAGTTTATTCTGAAGGCTTTCCCAAATATGAATGTACCAGAGGGGTGGAGGAAATCTCAACCTTGTGTCTTCATTGAGATACTCTGGGTCTATTAAAAGAACATAGTGATAATCATGGCCTGGAATCTAATCTACTGCTGCTAAGCTTTCTCAGATAACCCCTTTCTCCAGATCAAGAGCCCACCCAGAGTCTCACGTGTAAACATTGTTTACCTAAATAGTGCCACCAGCCGAAGACCAAGCAAATAAGATGGCCAAAGAGAGAAAATGGAGTGCAAGCCAAGGCAGAACTAGCCACATACGCATAAGCAGAAATGGGTTCCCTGTGGGAACATACTCCCTCACTAAAGAAATCTAAGAAATTTCATTCCCAGGAACACACTGAATAAAAAGAAAACCTATGAACCCTGTGAAATGGTTATCAATGAAGCCTTTCTCAGAACAGGAAGCATAAGCCAAATGACATTTGTGATCACTTCCAGATCAAATGCCCTAACATAAACAGCCTTCATACACTTTCGCTCTGTGATCACATATTGCCCTCAGCTGGTTGAGCACAGTGCCAGAGATGTCAACATGATCCTATAAGCCTAGATTCAAGTTGTACAGGTTCAACTGGTCTACAAACTTTAGAGACTGCTGTTGGTATTTGGGCTTCAGATTTAAGGTGAACAATACAAGACTTACGTAAATCAACCAAACCTTCCTCAGAAAAACCTGAGCCAAGTGTGGTAAAAGGGTAAGAAGAGCATGTTTCTGTTTTGAAGGGTTAATATTCATTTTAAACAGTACCATCTCTTTCCTCTCATTCTTCGCCATAATCTGTCTCTGTCTCCATCTCTCTGTCTCTCTCTTTCTGAATTTATAAAATAAATATTATTTTACCCATGCACATTTTCATATGTACTCTATATTTCTTTTTTTTGGTGGGGGGAGTCCAGTCATGGGGCCTGAACTCTGGGACTGGGCGCTGTCCCTCAGCTCTTCAGCTCAAGGCTAGCGCTCTACCACTTGAGCCACAGAGCCACTTCCGGCTTTTTTTCTTTTTGCTTATGTGGTACTGAGGAATCGAACCCAGGGCCTCAGGCATGCAAGGCAAGCACTCTACCATTGAGCCACCTTCCCAGCCCCCTGTACTCTATATTTCTTATCCTAAGAATTCTTCCCCCATAGTGATTCATTTATGTATTTAATTTTAGTGAAAGCAGACAAACTTCATTTTACTTGAAATGATCAAGTCAAATTAAGAAAATACATTTTGAGATTCTCTCCAAGTATGGGCTTTTCATACATTAAGACCTTGTGGTGTTGAAGATCTCTTTTACAAATGACAAAACCAGAGTTCAGGACACCTAGCTCAGGGCCTTGCTCTAACTGTAATCTTGTGACAGTTCAGGCATCTGTGACTCAGGGCTTTTCCATCAGATGGGGTTCTTGGGAGAAAAAAATCACTCCAGAGGGCCCCCCACCTCTGAAAAATCTATTTTGTATTGAATCATGAAATGTTATTTTATAAAGAGAAAAACAGAACTTTCTAATAGAGATTAAAAATGAACTTTAAAAAATTAACTGGTAAAAGTATGAAAACAGGGTAGAAGACTACATCCTTTAGATGAGAAATTTTGAATAAATAAGTTTTCTAGCATCTACATTTTAGTGTCATGAGGTATTGGTGAGGCATTGCTGTGGAATATGACAAATCTGTTACATAAAAACCGACAAAGCTGTCAATGTTTAGAGCTCTAAGCATTCCTTCACATTTGAGAGCATTGGAGAGCTGAGCAGGGATCCATTTCTGTGCTACACATCTCCATGTTTAATTCCAATGTCTCAGCATCTAATTCTAATTCTTAAGAGCCCCTCTAGATTACCACTTCTCTACATCCACTCTACTGGAAGGTTCTATTGGGACTTAAAAGAACCAAATATATTCATAGAAAAGCTACTAACAAAGTTGCCATTTTTCTGACCTCATGTAATTCTAGGAATTAGGTGTATTATGCGTTTAATAGGGAAGGGAACTGAAGCCCAATCATTGTCTAAGGTCTCATGCCATGTAGATGGTGAAGACAGCATTTCTTGTGGAGTCTATAGGGCTCACAGCTCTACCCATTGAGAGTACTGGAAGATAAGAACAAAGGGACTCTGAGTAACAGGTGCAAAAGCTCTCAGAGATCATTACAATTTACCAGCTTTGCAGCATACATTTTGGACACTTAATTCACTTTATTCACCACCTTGGGGTGGCTGTGGAGATGGCAAGCAAAGAAACAGACTTTAAGAGCCAGAAGTTTTAACAATTTTATTGGAAAACAAGTACAGTCTATTGATTAATGATACAAGCTGTACACCAATTTGGTGGTTTACCATATAAAAATATCTGGCATCTGCTACAGAATTACACAAGTAAGTCTTAGTAAAAAAAAAAAAAGAACCTTCATCATTAACAAGTACAAACATGTTATTGAAAATGTCATTTAAAATGGCTCAAAACTTTCTCTTTCATTGAAAGTAAAGTTTTTCAAAAGGAAAGCAGGAGAGAGAAAATATAAATTCTGTTAAGCCAGTTTATCCACTGGTAATCAAATACTTGGCTGTATTTTCAAATCTTCTTCAAAACTTAGGTTGACTTTTAATTAAAAAAATAAATACCCTTTTCAATGACATCTATTAAAGGGATCATATAGAAGAAGAGCTTTGAAAAGAGATTGGGGACTGGGACAGTCAGTCTAGGGAAGTTGAAGGAGTGGCAGAGAGCTTAGTTTTCTCTTCTGGATTCTTTCCCTGAGATAGGGAACATCTTGCCACTTTCCTGTGTGGTATTTTTGCCAAATTAAGGTTTCTCCCTTTACTTTTGTTCCCTAAATTCCAGATGCCTCACTACTCGTAATTCTTTTTGTACTTCTTACTAGCCAATGTTGCCACTCTTTCTAAGCTCGCTTTCTTGATACCATGCTTGCCAATGTATTCAGGCAAGAAGAGTCAGGAGAAAGCAGGTACAAAAGGGGTGGTCAAAATGTTAAACTGTGTTTGTCCAGCTCTGAACATTTTAATGGGGAAAATGCCCTTCCAAATAAGCGTTTGTATTCACCTATACTGTTAGATACTCAAAATATGAAAAGCAAATGATCAATCCACATTCAGACAACTTTCAGAAGCATCCTGTGTCCCAACAAATGGCTCATGAACCCAGTCTTGCAAATTTCAAGATTTAGTCTAATGATCCTGAAGGTTGTCTTCAAATTTAAGAAAATATTTTTTCCTATACCTCCCCCAATTTTTTTCTGTCACTTTTAATTGGGTAAGAAGTATTTAATTTTGTAGAAAGAATGCATGCAAGTTAAAATGTATTTACATAAAATCAAACATAGTTTTTATATATGCCAACACTTTGAAAAGTCTCAAATTTGTTTCTTACATAAAAAATGGGTTCTGGTTCCCCCCTAGAAAATAAAAATCTACCATTTCTTTTCACATGTTTGTCAAGTAGGCAGTGAAGAGACAGTTATTGACCTAAAAATCAAGTAGTTTTAGCATTGGACTAGTGGCCAGAAAATACAGGTTCAAGTCTTAGATGTAATAGAGTTAAGAGAGTATTTTAAAAAATAGGGAATTTTCTCTATGTCTAGAATTAGCATTATTGCAAAAAATTAAACATAATTATCTGAGAACATTTTTAAATAGTAAAGCACTACACAATCTTTGTCACATGTGCACACTGCTTCTGGAAGGCAGTCAGGGACAATCAAACAACACTTCTCCTGAGACAGCATAGATTCAGACCAGAAAAGGAGCTACTTCCTAATGTGGTCACTTATAGGCAGCACCCATAGACTGGCAGGAGAGATTTAAGGCTTGAGAGTGGAATCTCTCAGGGAAAGGCCCTTGGCAACTACAGCATTGACATCAACTTTGGATTGCAACTGGAGAGAATGCAAGAAGAAATTCAGGTCAGAGGACAGATGTAGGAGATACAGCCAAGACAGAATCCCTGGAGGCTGACCTAGAATACACACAGCAAGATGGCACAGGGAAGGTTGTGAGGACACATCACATTGGGAGAACTAGAGTCGGAACTGCCACGCTGGAGGGGGACGCAGGCTTTATTTAGTTCCTAAGCAGAAAAAGAGAGACCCTGGGAGGTTTTCCAGCAAGATCAGGATATGAGGAGAGCAGCATTTTATGAAAGCTGTGCACATGATGGAGGAGAGGAAGGAAGCCATTGCAAAGCCATCTGTGTCTCCAAAGAAGCAAATGAATCAAGTAAAATGCAGAATAAAGGAAAACAGGATGGACATTCCAGGAAGAAAACACTTAAGGAGGAAGGGGTGGGTCAGTTCCTGCTACTGTTGCTTTTTAAATTCTGTTCTACAGGAAGATAAAGAGATTTTTTGCCACCTTGGATTCCTGGAGAATCTCTGTCCCAATGAAAGGACAGTGTTCGAAGTCTACCCAATAAATTTTGGTCTTGGGAATCTCTGATCACTGGCAGAGGATGTACCTGACAAACTCAAGCCAATGAAAAATGTGCCCTTCCTCTGTGTCAGTCTACAGTACCCACAAGGCTGCCCAGAAAAGTCCCTCCTGGGTCATTGACCCTACAATGTCCCCAGACATGGCCACAGCTCTGCCTCTGTGCTCTCAACAAATTCATAAAGCCATCTCTAGAGGGTGGCCATCTCTTTATCTTCTCGTCACTTTTTAGCTTCTCATCACTGTCAAGTGACTTTTCTCAACTGGTCCAACATTCAGAGAGCATTTTATTGTCCTTTAAAGGCCATCCCAAGCCCTCTGCTCTGAACTGCCTGGACATGCTGTTGTCACTAAGTCCTGTTCCCTTAACTATCTGATTCCAGGTTACTTTGGGACAAGGGACCAGACAGGTACATTTTATGACTATAGAAGTCAGCAGGAGGCAACAGCCCAGCCTGTAGTGCATACAATAGGAACACCCAGCTTCTCCAGGCTACCCAAGAGGCAGGTGAACCTCACTTTGCAAGCTCGCCTTAGTGCCTGAACCAGAGGTCAAAGACAATAATTGCTGTTTGGATGAAGGCAACCTCCTCTGAGCTGGCATGTGGTATCTGACCTTTTTCCAAAACCTGGACTTTGAAGACTGTGGTCCCTCTCTCAAATCCCCTGACCAGCGGATGGTCCCATGTTTCTGCTTAATAAATCTAATGGATTCCGGCATTTTCTCGTAGTCTTCAATTTTCTCCAGCTCCAGCAGAACAATTTTAATTCCATCTTCAATTAGAGCATTATACATCACTATTTGCTCCTCTGATGAATGGTCCAGCCAGCTGAAGCCAGACACATCTCTCACTAAAACAATAATCAGTCTTCTACTTTTCTTTATGTTTTCATTAGTGACCTCGATAGTATCTGAAAAATAGGAAGTACAGTGTGATGAGTCAAATTTCAGAACCGTGTTCTCACAAGATTCTTCCCTCCGCCCCCTCCATCTACTATGTCTCCTCATGCTTCTTTTCTCTTGTGTTACTTGTGCTTAAAGGTCTGTCCTGTTTCATAGATCAGATCAAACATTGACCTGCAACAGTTGAATATTCCACTTAGAATGCAGGAAAATGTCAAAGTTTTAAAAACTACTTAAGTCATTTCATCTGTACTATTTTATTGTACTAATAACCACTAATTAATCATTATATTTTCTGAAACATATAAATCAATTAATTAGTGATCTATCCAACTGTAACAGAAGTAAATACTTTGCATTTAATAAATATGAAAGTTAGGCTGGGTGCCCGTGGATTATTCCTGTAACCCTAGATACTTAGGAGACTGAGATCTGAGTTCAAAACCAATCTAGGCAGAAAAGTCCATGAGACTCTTATCTCCAATTAATCAGCTAAATGCCAAAAGTAGAGGTATGGCTAAAGAGGTAGAGCTACAGCCTTAAGCAAAAAAAGCCAAGCAAGAGCTTAAGGCTCCGAGTTCAAGCCCTAGTACTAGCACATACACACATACCCCTCACACATACATATACACACACATACAGAAGTATAAAGAAATGTTTAAAATGGTAAAAAATACATATACCCACATTACAGTCTTCTAAAAAGATAGCAAACTTACAGATTCATTTTTACAACAATAAACCTATTAACTCTTGTGCATTACTCCATCCCATACCTTCTCCAACATAATCATCCCTTCCATAAATGAACAGTCTATATCCAAACTGATTTTCCAAGACCTCAGGCAATATTTTGAACACAAACATATCTGAGTTGGAGGTGGACCCTTCCGTGAACGTCTTTGGGTATAGTATATATGCATCATAGCTCTTCTCATCTGAAGCTAAAGAATAAATGTCACATATTTAGAACCAAAAGGAAAAGTAAATGATTTGATAAAGTCAGTATCAAAAACATATACTTCCCAGTTACATATTGATCTTTTTGATTCAGTGTACAATTGAAGTATGGTACCATTTTACAATGTTCACTCTTCCAAATTTTCATACTATGAGCTATTCTTCTCTTGCATTAATGGCCACCTCACATACATGCAGTATTAAAATGTCCTTAGCTCCTTATTCTTATTTTCTTCCCCAAACATTTCAGTCTTCCTTTTATATAGTATTGAGGTGGTAGATTTTATTTGGTTTCAACGAAAGAGAGAGACTTCCCCTGATGTGTGAAAATCTATTCATTTCTTCCACTTGGAAGTTGGCCATGGTGTGATCTACACAGAGCATGTCCCCATCAATGGATTCTAAGTAACTGAATTCAGACACAGCTGCTCCAAGGGCCTGTTTATCCTGCAGCTTGAATGCTGAAGACTGAACTTAGAAAACACTGAAATTCAGTCTAGTTAAGTCAATTATAAAACTATAATTAAGTCTAAGAATAACTACCATCCCTATATCTGCCAGCATTTTTCATTCTAAATCTTCAGTAAACATTTTCTTAGTCATCATCTAAATCTCCAAGGAGAACTTGTTGTGTGACTACAAAATTATACCTTCTGTGTGGAGAAAATGGGACCAAGAATCTCTGTACCAAAGTACAATGTCAACCTTGAAGATTTTATAGATGAATACTGAGCACACAATCATAACTGTTAATGGGACAAATATCCCAATTATGTGGTTCTTGAAATCAGGAACTGTAGCAGAAAAGAGGAGGAAAAGCATTAAAACCAAAAGGAATTAAAACTTTGAACACAGCAACTTTTCTACTTTCATCACAGGAAAGACATATTTGGAATTGGCCTAACATTCAGATAGTTTTTAGCTCATTCATTGTTATAATTATTAATGGATATTAACTACAGAAAGCAATCTAACCTGGACAAGCTATACAACTAAGGCACATTCTATTAAGTTTCCACCGAAATACCACCATATGCAATAAGAGAAAATATACTACAGATAGAGTGCTTCACAGTACAAGGAGAAGTCAAAATCAATGAGAATCTACAGAAGTTTACCAAGGTAGAAGAGCCAGTTAGGAAAAGCCAAAATCTGGAGGAGAAGAGGAAAGAATATCTATCTATCTATCTATCTATCTGAATTTGTCTTCACTTTCTAATTACTCAACTTTAGTGATTAAAGAGGAAGGTGGTAAAAAAAATAAGCAGTGAGAGGGTAAAGGAGAAGAGGCTGAAGAACAACTAAACATAGAAAAAGAGACAAGATGAAAGGATTTTTTAAATGCCAGAACATATAGAGACACCCTGGAAAAGAACACCTAAAAGCCTATAACTTAAGTTGTCCAGTTTAGTTCTTTGATCCATCTGGACTTTATTTTGGTACAAAGTAGGATCCAAGATCTAATGTCCAATTGGTCCAATGGATAGTTCACATTTATAGTCTTCATTACGAGATCATGATTGCTTCAATATAAATCTTCCAGCTTATGTTAAGAACATCTTGACTATTCAACTACAGATTGTTTTTATTTTTCCATTTTTTGAATATTTTATTATCTTTAAGTAGTTATACAAAGGAGTTTCTATTCACCAAATCAGATGATGAATACAGTGTCTTGATCAATGTCACCCACAGATTATTTTTAAATATTTCACAAAAATTTTCAACACTGCCTGACCATACCAACTCATGACCTTGACTTCTGGAATTGCCTTTCTGAAGCAGCTATTTAGGTTTTGAAGCATTCTTCATAAAGTTATTTACTTAAAAACATTTATTACATGCCCATGATGTAGCAAACTTCAATTATTATTAGCTGTGGAAATAGAATAAGTACTATGATAAAAAGCTGTTACCATCAAAGAATTTACAGTCAAGGAAATTAAGTCTAAAAGATACTGTACTGGGACAAACAGTACCAGAGTTCTTAACTGGGTTAAGTGTAAACAATGGAATAGAAAAATATACCACTGAAAACAGATAATTCATCTGAGAAGGATTAGAAGTTTCCCAGCTGACAAGGAAGGAAAGAATGTTCCAGGGAGAGGAAGTCATATTGGAAAACTCTAGGTTATGAAATCCTATTAAAAACAAATCTTAAAACAACACCACCTTGCTCATGTAACTGTAACACTTCTGTACAGTATATTCACAATAAAAAAAACTTACTTAAAAAAAGAAAAGAAAAATAAAAAAGAATGGAAATGACTAAAAACCACAACAACAAAAATTGCATTTCAAATAACTAGTTTCATATTTACCTGGGTATACAAATTGGATATATGCTTCACTGATTTTGTCTGTGTTCCTGGCCACACAGATGAATGGGTATAAATAAAATTGACTTTTGACCTCTGAGATATTAAGTATTGTGATGAGTGTATTCTTTATTTTGTCTGAAGGATTTTCCACACTGTTCAAAAGACAGAAGGTCAACAAAGTTAGGCAGGGATGTTGCAGCCACTATGAATAACATTTTTTTTGTTGTTGGTCCTGGGTCTTGAACTCTGGGTCTGGGCACTGCCCCTGAGCTCCTCAGCTCAAGGCTAGCACTCTACCACTTGAGCCATAGCACCACTTCCAGCTTTTTCTGCTTATATGGTGCTGAGGAATCAAACGTGGGGTCTCATGCATGCAAGGCAAGCACTCTACCACTGAGCCACCTTCCCAGCCCCATGAATAAGATTTTTATGTTTGGTTTATTTCTGCATTTGTTTCGTACCTTGCAGCTGAAATAATTACCTACACTACTCACAGAGTAACGTAACAATCAGACAGCTGGTATATCAATTGAATTATATAGCCTGAGATTACTGTCAGTTGCAGGAACACAAAACTAGTAAAAACTGATTAGCTACAGACAGGAAAACTACAAAGACAAGCAATCTATCTTCCATGGAGTACAGAAAAGCATATATTAGACAAGAGTAGATTGAGGCAGAGGACAAAGGCCTTCACCAGGGCTGGGAAGAAGGGGACATTGGAAGCCTCATCCCACAGGCCCACAATACATAAGAAGACAGTAGAAGCTTTTTAGAGTTCTTAGTGCTTGACCCTGCTTAATGAGTATTTTCTAAACTAGTTTTAAAAAACGTAAAGAGGTGTTTGCTTTGGCAGCACATATATTAAAATGAAACAATACAGAGAAAATGAGCATACAAGGATGACAAATTAAAAGAAAGAATGTTAGCATGCCTTTTTCGTCAGTAACTTTTAGGACAAATTAAAACTCCCAAAATCTGGGGGGAAAAATATGAAGGGGAATTTATTAGAATGTTGCACCATGCATTACTGAATTTAAGAGAAAGGCTTCCAAATGATTTGGAATCTGCACCACAATGTACAAGACCTTGCAAATCTTGTTTAGCTAACTTAGTAAAACTCCAAAAAGAGGGCTGATGGCTCACACCTGTAATACTAGCTACTCAGAAAGCTGAGATCTGAGAATTGCAGTTGAAAGCCAGACCAGACTGCAAAGCCCCCCGAGACTCTTATCTCCAATTAACTACCAAAAAGGGGGGAAAAAGCCAGAAATGGAGCTGTAGCTCAAATCCTAGAGCACTAGCCTTGACTAATAAAGCTCAGGGACAGCACCCAGGCCCAGAGTTCAAATCCCAGGACCACCCCCCACACACAAAACAACAACAACAACAACAAAAGCAGCAAAAGGTGAGGAATCATGAGTTCCCAGGTAACCTCAATGTTAAGTTATAGGTTATTATACAAAGGGATTAAAATGGGGTATAAAATGTGATATCAACATTGATGGGTGTACTTACAATTGATAGTCCTCCTCCAGAACTGGGTCATCAATGAAAAAGATTTCTGACCCATTCCACTTCCAGCTGACTATATCACTGGATTTGCCAGTGGCATTACAGATCAATTGTACGTGAGACCCTGCAAAACAGTGCATTGTTAATCAAGGGATGAATTAATTTTCAGTCAGATCTATCTGTATTACTAAATGGCTAGTAGATAACATTCGAAATTATAGAAAAAAAGTGCAGAGAAGAAAGTACCTTGGTCCTTAACATCACCCTCCTCAGATAGGCACTGTTAGTAACTGTATCTGTATCCTTCCTTCTCTTCTCTGTATGTACCTATGAAACTTTGTGAGATTTTATTACCTATTTGGTAACAGGCTGTGAATTGGGAATTTCAGTCTTTATGGTCACTCCTCCCAAACTGGCTGGTTTGTGGCTGCTTAGGATTTCTTAATACAGATGTACTCTAATTTAGATTTTCCTATTGTTAAGCCTACTCTGTTTTTAATTTCTCATTATTATGGTTAATACCCTATGAACAGCCTTGTTTATACAGCAAGGTTTATCTATGTTCAAAAGCATTGCTTTGAATTTAAACCAGGAAGTAAAACTCAAAGAAGGTCCATGAATACAATAAAATAAATTTTCACCAACATTTTTGAATTATTGGTGTATGTGTGTGTGTGTGCACATGCGCGTGCACATGCATGTGTGCACGTGTGGTATGTTATTACTGTTTTGTTGTGCTGGGGATTAAACCCAGGGCTTTACAACATAAAACTTGTAATTTTCTCCACTGAGATCCACTCCCAGTATATCTACATGTCTGGACTCATTTTAAATTACCATATATTTATAAGCTGGCTTTTCTTTTAAGAACTGCTCCTAAAGCACCTAGTCCATGATCTAACTCCATCTCAGACTATCTTTCCTGACCAGCAGGGACTCCTCTATCATAGGAAAATGTGCTCTACATTCCACGACAATGCTCCAAAAAAACTCAGGTAACCTTCCTTCATTTCACTTTTGTTTATGAAAATTCTTTGATGTATATCTCTTTTTTAGATATGGCTATCTATGTATATTCATCTATCGATGTATATATGTATCTATGCATTATTCTTTAGTCAAAATTTATATATTTAAAACATATTTTCCACTATATATATATATACATATATATATATATATATATATATATATGTTCTTCTAAAAGGCCCTTTCTACCATCAAATACATTTTCTTTTAGATTTATGAGGTTTTTCTTTCATTGTCTTATGTGTTGTTTTTCTTTTTCTTATTTTGGACTTTCTCTGTTGATCTAAATATTTACACTCAGGCTAAATATATTCCACCCTCCCTTCTTTCTTTTCTCTCTCCTTTCTATTCTCTCCTTTCCCCTTCCCTCAATGTCCTCCTTTGCTCCCTCCCTCTTGATGTTTTTCAAAGTCTGGCTTTGAACTTTTTCACTAACTTGGAAAAATATTTTTCTAGCATAACTATCATATTTTGGGGGGGTCAGGTTGTGGGGCCTGAACTCTGGGCCTGGGCGCTGTCCTTCAGCTCTTCAGCTCAAGGCTAGCACTCTACCACTTGAGCCGCAGCACCACTTCCGGCTTTTTTGCTTTGCATGCCTCAGGCATGCAAGCGCTCTACCACTGAGCCAACTTCCCAGCTCACAACTATCATATTTTTTATCTGTAGTCTTACTTCTTCCTAACAGCTTAATTCTGATGATAAATACTGTGTCAGTATAAGTTACATTCTTGTTCTTTGCACTTGGTCTTCAATTGGTTTTTTTGTAGGTAGTTAGTATCCTCAACAAAGTAGGAGTAGGCAAATTAGATATGGCTACATTTTTGCCACAAGAGGTAACATATAAAAAAGGAAGGAAGGAAGGACAGACGGACAGACATGGGTTGAGACTATGGCTCAAGTGATAAGAATGCTTGCCTATCATGCAGAAGGCCCTAGTTTCAATTTCTGATAGCACAGAGGAGGAAAGTTAAGATATATATACTCTGTGCCACATTCCCTCTCTATACTGGTTTATTCAGTAAAGGCTTTGATTATATATATTAAATGTAAAATTTATCTTCATCTTCAGTTCTAAATAAGTCTTTAAGCATTTCCTGTTTGGAACTCACTTACCTAAGTTCACTTCTTTTGTCTCATTCACTGGACTCAGAATCACAGGTCTATGGGGCTTGATTTCCTCTGAAAAAAAAAAACACACAGGACTTCTCAGACTCTTATGGGTCAGAATCACACTTGCACAACATGCTAAATGACAGCTGGCCAAATTGTTTCTGGAGCACTTAAAGGACAAAGAGCATGAGAGAGGAGGGAAGAAGAGAAGGAAAGAACCAAATGTAGAAAGCAACCAGAGAATGTTTTACCTACAGTAAAATGGGCCCTTTGAGCCAAAAGGTATGACTTTCTTGCGGTCTCTCTCTCTCTCTCTGTCTCTCTCTCTCTCTCTCTCTCTCACACACACACACACACACACACTACCACTACCACCATCACCACCACCAGGACCCTGATGCTGTTTTGAAAAGGACTTCACTCAAGACAAAAAAAAAAAAAAAAGAAGCAGTAGCTATGGAAAAGTACCTTTTTGGCCAGAAAAATGAACTGTGTTTAGTAACTTTGAATCATTAGACCCAAAAGAGAGGAAATGTGGTTATTGCTGAATGCCAAGCAATCTGACACAATTTACTAAAATAAGCAGAAAACTATGAAGGGCTTCACAAATAAATTTGACTCATCTTCAGACTACTGGCTCCAAAGTTTAGAGTCAGTATTCCTCTGTTACCAAGAGGTAATTGACAATCAATGAATTTGAATGTACTGCCAGTATAGGCAAATAAATAATTAAACACTATAAAGACAGAATATTTCCATTTTGTTTATTGATATACATATAAAAGAGTTCTTCACACATAGCATATATTCAATAAATACTTTTGAGTCCAAGAAAGAGCAAAATCACTAAGTATCACTGGGCTGGGAACCCTGAGTGAACTGTATTATTTATACAATTGAGATTGACAGAGAATGTTTACACCACATTTATGTGGAATTTCCCAGTGCCTAACTCTTCCTAGAATTCTACCTATTGCTTTATATGTTGTGTCTTAAGCAAAGAAATAGTAACAATAACTACCAGTAAACAATAATCAGGAGAAGGTTGCTGGAAACTCAAGAATATGGCCATAAAATTAAGACCACTGAACATTAAGACTCACCGATCCTTATGGGATCAAAGTAAGAAATTCATTTTTATTCAATAAAATTAATCTCTGAAGAAAATAATTGTTTATAGGATTAACTATATTTGGGATTATCCTGTCCTAGGATGGTCCCAATTTTTATAACAGTTTCCCCAGTATAATTACTAATAAGCAACCCTTGTAAAAATATTCTTAAGTTCTTCTTGCTTAAGATTGATAGTAATAGAAAGATTAAATCTTCTGTTCATTTCCATCTAGGTAATTTGTGGAAGTACATTTCTTAAGAAATCGTTTTAACTATGAGCCATGATTATACAGAATTAAGAAAAATGAAGAATAACTCCTAAGCACCTATTAGTTGCACACTTGCTTTGTGCCAAGCACTATTTTGTATTAGGCACATGTCTACCAGGTAAGCATATCTGATCCCTAATCTTCCCAACAACTTTAGGAGGTAGTACCATCATATCAAGAGGAAAACAGACTGAGAGAGATTAAGTAAAAGAGCTAACATAGAATGAACCAGAGCTAGATTCTGGGAACAAAATCTGTGCCACAGCATATTGTCTTCCACCCCATTGATGGCAAAGATTCTTCTTTTTTCTCTCTATTTTCTGTATTGAAAATTGAACTAAAAGCTCAAAGATTCTATGCAAATGTTCCATATCTAAGCTATACCCTTAATCTAATGCTAAGGGCTCTTGATGACAGACCTTAGACACCTCAAGTTCAGGATCTCAGAACATTCTCCTACACTAGCCAAAGAGCCCCAGAGCTCTCCGGCAGAATCGTGTTTAGACACATCTAAGAAGCCTACTGCAGCATTTGGAAAATGTTAGCTCATGACATCTCCGTTTAAGTGGTATTACATTTTAAATGGGAGTGAAATAGATTTACATAGTATGCAGTAACAAAACTTATCAGAACCATGGGACCCTTTGTGGAGTCACTGAGCTTCTCTCTGGACTGTGAAAGCACTATTAGAATCATGGTCTTTGGAAAATCCATGATCCAAACTCCTCGAATTAGGCTGTGACTCACCTAAAGTAAAAAATTCAATTACTCGGGTAATGTTGTATTGCTTTCCCAAGTATGTGTAGGATACAAGACAAGTATAATGCCCTCTATGGTACTCAGAGACATTCTTCACAATGAGTTGATTTTTCACTCCAATGAATAAACTATTATCGAGAAGTAGAGGTTTGCAATCCTAAATAAAAAGAAAGAAAAGAAACATTGAATATTGGTTACTTCTCCCTATTTGCCAATAAAAACTCCATCTTCCCCATTAGTTAACTAATATTAAAAAGTAATTGAATGGTTGCTTGGGTTCAATCAGTTTTGATATCATAATTCTTTCTTGAAAAAGCAAATGTTAAGTATGTTCTTTACTACTAAGATTTTTATGCCCAGAGCCTTATACTACAAAGGCAAATGAAGACAAATTTATTTTGCAAGAACACATGTCCAATGAAACTGCTAATGTAGTTTGTCAATGGCGTGTTTCCTTTCTTTGCTGTTTATTTCTTTTGTATTTCCTAACTTCTAAAAGATGATTCTCTAAGTTCCATTGGATCAAGGGGAACATGAGGTGTTCCACAGAATGCTAATCAACCCACTTACAAATTACATATATTGCAATAAACAGTTATCAATTAAATATTTGAAATTTTATCAGTCTTCTCCTTACACATGTTTTATTATTTCTACTACTACTTTTCTCATCTATACTAAGTTAAATACAAACACTAGTAACATCTCAGTTAAGCTCCAAATAAAATGAATGAAATATTACAATGCAATATTTCATTTCTCCCTTCAGAAGAAACCATTTGAAAACCACTTTTGCAGATTCATTTGCCCATCCAATGCAAAATTTTCATTTACTGAACAAGTAAAATATTATGTTAATAACAAAATTACCTTATACCACTGGACTTGAGGTAACTCTTCATTTTCATCTTTAAAAAAATCCAAATGAGGGCACACAAGTTTCCCGTCTTCTGCGATATGCAGTCTCTGTGTAAATATAACTTGTGAATTATAGCACAAGTCAGGCTCATTCTCCAAAATACTGGTAGTTATTTTAATTTTGAGGCAGTAAGTTGAATTTCTAAAATGGAAAATTATGGAATTTAATATCTTATCTTTCACTATTGCATATACTTAGGACATATTGGTAATATATAAATTCCTTCCTTACCTTACTACACAGTAGTAATGTCCTGAGTCTTCTACCTTCGCAGGAACAAACCAAAGTTTATTTTTCTGCTGATGAATCCTGTCATCTTGTGCTGTAGATATGGGTGTCGTGCTATCATTTTTATACCAAATTATGGTGCCCTTGTTTTCATTTGGGTTAAGAGGACAGGCACGGACATCGATTTCATTTGCAGATGCAAGGAAAATTATATATTCTTCACGTTCTTTACATTTATCTTTTAAAGAGAGAAAAAGGGAGTACTTTCCATGAAAAAATGTTCAGCATTTCCTATTGTAGTACCTATCTATAAACAGGTTAGTGACCAAATATACCAGTTCATAAAAGCTGATGATTAAGAGCCACATCTTGGGAGTCTGGAAAATTGACTTTCAGTTACAGGTGTGTCATGGATTACCTGTGTGCTATATACAATTTGTCTAGTCTCTTAACATTTCTTACTCTTCATTTTCTTAAAAATGATGACAGTTTAGGAAGAGAGACACCCACTTAGTACAGAATCTCCCCACACAAACATCGAAAAATAAACAAAGTACATGGAACAATGCTACTGAGCACATTAAACATGAAGAAATAAAAAGACAGAGATCTCAAAAAGATGGGAAATGAAGAAGGAGAGCCTGTTCATAGCCCAAAATTACTTCTCACATATCTACCAGGCTGAAACTGAAGAGACAAAACACTACAGAAAGCCAGTCAGTATCTGTAAGTTGAGAAGTAGAGTCAGGAATCTGTGTAAATGCTAGCAAATGCTGAAATAGACCTGCTTATACAGCAAGAGAGTTTATAGATCACTTGCATTTATAGCCAAGTACAATCAGTATCAGAACGTTAGCAAATGCCCAAGGCTAGAATGAGAATTACCAAAGAATGATGAGCAGTAAGCCTGGAGTACACACAACACTGAGAATCATTGCTTATCCCCAAAGCCAGAAGGCTCTAGAGACACCCATCAAAATCATGACGCATCATATAGAGTGCCCCAAATGGTGTAGACTCATTCAGATGGGGAGACATTCATCATAGACTCTTTCCTTTTCTGAGTCTATTAAAGGATAGAATCAATTTCAAGTAACACCATTCTGTCAGAACAATAGTCATGAACTTGTTTTAAGAACACAAAAGTAGCTGGCTGCCATTGACTCATACCTGTAATTGTAGCTACTCAGGAGGCTGAGATCTGAGATTGTGGTTCAAAGCCAGCCAGGCATCTGGGCTGGTTCCATATCTTAGCTATGGTAAACACAGTTGTGCTGGTAACTTTAGTAAGGCCTTGTTTGTTTTCATTTGGGTAAATGCAAAAAAGTGGGATTGCTGGGTCATAGGGGTGCTCTATGTGGAGTCTTTTGAGGGACCTCCATACTACTTTCCAAAGTGGTTGAACAAGTTTACACTCCTGCCAACAAAACTGTAGGGTTTCTTTTTGGCCACATCGCCTCCAGCATCTGTTGTTATTAGATTTTTTGATTCTAGCCATTCTAACTGAGGTGAGGTGGAATCTCAATGTTGTCTTAATTTGCATTTCTTTTATGGCTAGAAAAGTTGAGCATTTCTTCATGTGTCTATTGGCCATTCATATTTCCTCTTCAGACAAGACTATCCTTAAGTCTTTAGCCCACCTGTTGATGGGGTGGTTTAATTCTGAGGGTTTATTTTTGGAGGATTTAATTTTTTGAGTTCCAGGTATATTTTAGATATGAGACCCTTATCCCTTGTATGGCTAGTGAAGTTCTTCTCCCAATCCTTGGGCTTTCTATTGATCTTGCTAACTATGTCCTTTGCAATGCAAAAGCACTGCAGTTTCATGCAATCCCATTTGTCCAACCTTTCTTTGATTTGTTGTGTTTCTGGGTCTTTATTAAGAAAATTTCAGCCTGTGCCAAGGAGACCTAGGGTTTCTCCTATTCCTTCCTGTAATGTTTTCAGGGTACCTGCTTTGACTTTGAGGTCTTTCATCCATTTGGAGTTGATTCTGGTTCAGGGTGATATACAAGGATCTAGCTTTAGTTTTCTACATGTAGTTAACCAATTTTGCCAGCACCATTTACTGAAGAGTCTGTCATTCTTCCATTCTATTTTTTAGCTCTCTTATCAAAGATTAGGAAGCTATAGGTCTGTGGGTTCATTTCTGGGTCTTCAGTTCTATTCCATTGGTCCTCAGGTCTGTTCTTGTGCCAGTACCAGGCTGTTTTGATTATTATGGCTTTGTAGTAGAGTTTAAAATTTGGTATTGATATTCCTTCAGCACTGTTCTTTCTGCTAAGGATTGTTTTTGCTATTCTGGGTCTTTTATTGTTCCACATGAATTTTTCAGTTGCTCCTTCTATTTCATTGAAGAATGCGGTTGGAATATTGATAAGTATCGCATTGAATTTGTAGATAGCCTTTGGCAGTATTGACATTTTCATGATGTTGATCCTCACAATCCAGGAGCATGGGAGTTTTCCCACTTCCTTATTTCTGCTTTAATTTCCTTTTTCGGGCTTTTAAAGTTTTCATTGTAGAGGTCCTTCACTTCATTAGTTAACTCCAAAGCATTTTATTTTTTGTGGGACTATTATAAAAGGAGTTGCTTTACTGAGTTCAGCCACACTTTTCTCATTGTTGGCATGCAGAAAAGCCATTGATTTTTGAGGGCTAATTTCAAACCCTACTACTTTGCCAAAGTTTTTGGATCAGTTCAAGTAATTTGGGAGTGGAGTCCATGGATTCTTTAAATACAAGATTGTGTCATCTGCAAAAAGGGAGAGTTTTACTTCTTCTTTCCCTATTTGGATCCCCTTTATGTTTGCATCTTGTCTTATTGCTGTAGCTAGGCATTCTCATACTAAATTGAAGAGAAGTAAAGAGAGTGGACATTCTTGTCTTGTTCTTGAATTTAGAGGAAATGGCTTTAACTTTTCACCATTAAGTGTAATGCTGTCTGTAGGTTTGTCATACACAGCCTTTATTATATTGAGGAATGTTCCATGGATTCCTAGTTTTTCCTGAGCTTCCATCATAAGGGGGTTTTTGATCTTGTCAAATGCTTTTACTGAATCTATTGAGATAATCATGTGGCTCTTATCCTTGCTCTTATTGATTGATGAATTGTATTGATTTGCATATATTGAACCAGCTTTGCATCCCTAAAATGAATCCTGTTTGACCATTGTGTATGATTTTTTTATAAGTTGTTGAAGTCAATTGGCCAAAATTTTGTTGAGAAGTTTTGCATTGATGTTAATCAATGAACAGGGTCTATAGTTCTCTTTATTTGATGAGTCCCTGCCTGGTTTTAAGATGAGGATTATGATGGCTTCATAGAAAGAGTTTGGTAGTAGACTTTGACTTTCAATTTCATTGAAGAGTTGGAAGAGTATTGGTGTGAGTTCTGCTTTAAAGGCCTTGTAGATTTCAGCTGAAAATTCATCCGGTCCTGGGCTTTCCTTGGGTGGGAGGTCTCTTATTGTTGTTTGTATTTTGAGGCCTGATATGGGTCTGTTAAGTTGGTTTAACTCATATTGGTTTAGTTTGGGCATGTCAATATTTGCTAGAAATTCATCCGTTTCTTCCTGATTCTCAAGCTTATTAGCATAAAGGTTTGAGAAAGTATTCCCTTATAATGTTCTGAATCTTAGTTGTTTCTGTGGTGATGTTTCCAGTCTCATCTCTGAGTTTGTTTATTTGGGTGTGTTCTGTTCTTTTTCTGATAAGATTTGCTAAGGGTCTGTCAATTTTGTTTATTTTTTCAAAGAACCAACTCTTTGTTTTGTTGATTCTTTCTATGTTTTCTTGGACTTTAATTCACTTAATTATGGTTTAATTTTAATTATTTGCTTTCATCTACTGTATTGGGGTTAGCTTGTGCTCTTTTACAAGGAGCTTCAGGTGCCTCATTAAATTGTTGGTTTCAGATCTGCAATTTGTTGATGTAAGAACTCAGAGCTATAAACTTGCCTCTGAGTATTGCCTTTGCTGTGTCCCAGAGGAGCTGGTATTTTGTGTGTTCTTTTTCATTAAATATCATGAACATTTGAATTTCCTTTCTAATCTCTTCCATGACCCACTGCTGGTTCAACAGTGTGTTGTTCGTCCTCTATGTGTTACAGGACTTTCTTTGGTGGCTTTTGGTGTTAAGTTCTAATTGTATTCCCTTGTGGCCTGAGAGAATGCAGGGCATAATTTCAATGTTTCTGAGTTTGGGCAAATTTGCTTTGTGACTTAAAATGTGGTCTATTTTGGAGAATATTTCATGTTCTGCTGAGAAGAATGTGTATTCTGATGCTGCTGGGTGAAATATTTGGTAGATGTCTGTTAAATCTAGTTGATCTATTCAGTTGTTTAGATCTAAGGTTTCTCTGTTGAGTTTTTGCCGGGTCAATCTATCCAGCATGGATAGTGTTGTGGTTAAGTCCCCAACAATTAATGTCTTTGGATCTACGTGTGATTTTTAGGCAAAGTAGTGTTTCTTGGGTAAATCTGAGTGCTCCATTGTTTGGTGAATAGATATTTAGAATTGTAATATCCTCCTGGAGGAGAGATCCCTTAATTAGTATATAGTGACCTTCTTTATGTCTTCTTACTAATTTTAATTTGAAATCTATTTTAATCTGATATTAGGATTGCAACTCCTGCCTGCTTATGGGGGCCATTTGTTTGGTAGATTTTATTCCAGCTTTTCACATTCAGTATATGTTTGTTTTTGTGGGCAAGGTGTGTCTCTTGAAGGCAGCAAATAGAAGGATCTTGGTTTTTGATCCAACTAGACAGTGTTTTTCACTTAATTGTAGAGTTAAGTCCATAATATTGAGAGTTAAGACTGAGAGGTGTTTGGTAGTTCCTGCCATGTTATTCACTTTCTTACGGGCTGTGCCAGCTGGGTTCTTCTTAGGATTCTTGGATTCTCTGTTTGGGGGCCTTTTTTTGCCTTTATCATGTTCTTGTTGGTTTTCTAGGACTCTTAATTCTTTATGTGGTAGAAAAATGAACACAACCGGGCGCCGGCGACTCACAACTGTAACCTTAGCTACTCAGGAGGCTGAGATCTGAAGATCAAGGTTCAAAGCCAGCCCAGGAAAGGAAAGTCTGTGAGACTCTTATCTCCAATAAACCACTAGAAAACCGGAAGTGGTGCTGTGGCTCAAGTGGTAGAGTGTTCACCTTGACCTGAAGTGCTGAGGGATAGCTCCCAAGCCCAGAGTTCAAGCCCCATGACCGACCAAAAAAAAAAAAAAG